CGGTTCCATTCTACCATAACAGAAGCTAGAATGTTTGCTTCCATGTGGCTTGCAGGTGAATCAGTTAGAGAGCAAAACGCAACCAAAGTTCACTGAAATCGGCAACTTCTACTCGCAGTAAGAAACACTCAGTAATCACCTGCAGCTCACATTGTACAATGACCCCGAGCAATTCAGTGTTGCTGACTGAGTGATGGCGCGAAGATGGTTCACGTTGTTCATCCCCATGCTTCAAGTTTTTCACAAAATCGACAACTGCGCTCCAAATGCTTGCCATGAGTCCATACCCAGATTGTCGTCCTTACAGGTAACAACCTATGAAGGACGTTGACGGAACTGAATTTCGCAACTTTACAAGTGAGGATCATCCGGTAGCCATCTGATGGCAAAACATACTACAATAGGAATGAAACTTACTCCGACGGACATGGCCGTTCGGAAAACACCCGCAAGATGAACTTCGCCTGCTTGTTTGGTTCAAACGTCGAAGGGACAATCATGTATTCTCCTGGTGGGAGCCTATGACGGTTGGTCACCTCACGGAGGTTGGTAAACGTCTGAGAACTGCCAACGGTGTTATTTGACAAGAAAAAGGCTTTCCCTAGAAGTCCTTCGCGGTGGTCCTTGAGCTTTTGGTGGGGAGAAAATGGTCAACAAAGACGAAGGCATTGGCATGCATTGCGTGCAAAACGGTCATGGTGAAGTGATATCTATGTGTGCAAGTGGGAGGTCTGATGACATTTTGACATTCATTGGTTGCTGATCAAGTGTATGTTTATCTGTTCGCTAAGCTTGTCACTTGACCTGCAACTGAAGGCATTCGGATGACCGCTCCACTCAAAGGAACGTGAACCGCGGCGCCACAAAGCTCACAAACGGACCAATAGCTTCACGAAGACGCTGACTCTCAGTTAGCCAGTCACGTTAGGCGATGACAGATATTCATCACATTTCATATAAATGCGGGAAAACAAAGTGGAACTACCTATCTGAATTGCATTGGTTGCGAAGCGTTTGCAAGTCAATAGCCGAACCCGGTGAACAGATCGACTGCCACCTGTTCAATAACCAATAAACTCATCCGAATTAGCAACATTCGCGACACATTGACAATTTGACATTTATTGATTTTCAACACGTTATCACATGAGACTCATGCCCTAACAAGTTGCTCATCATAAGAGATTCAGGCCTAGTTAATTCGTGCACTGAAGCTACTTGGAGAATCATACTTTGCGCAAACGAGGGAAAAGTTGGCAGCTTGCCAAGCCCGGTGAACAAACCAACAACCGAGCAGCGCACCCGAGCTACCTACATTCCACAACATTCCTAGGAACAAATTATTCCGATACTATGTTTCTGTAGACTCGTAAATAGATGGAAAATCACTTGTTCAATGCAGTACTTGATGGGCAAAAACACACAAAGATAGCGTACTAACGTTCATCACCATTTCGATTTTTTCTGAGAGTTATCGATTTGAGAAATGGCGCAATAAACTGGACGGAAGGCCAGCAAATACCCAAACTCCTTGCTTTCATTCACTCACTTCAGAACTTTTGCCAGGTTAATAAGAACAGAACTTAGAACAAGGTCAGATTTCTTCCGTTAAAGAACCAAATCTCCTTGGAGACAGATTTCTACTCCAGACTTTTGTTAGTAATCAAACGGCACCATTAGAAGCTGACAAATGTCCTTCTCTCTGTGGTGCTGTGTATTATGGAAGATGATGAATTAAGGTAGAAACTTGGTGAATTCGATATAGTCACGTGATCGGACACGTTTGAACCCAGACCGTCAATGTGGTGGGCCGTAATTCATTCCGTTCGAACATATATGGCTCACCACACACACACATACACACACATCCAGCACACAAATTAGCCTAACGTGCAATTTAACCCTTAGGATTGATTAGGAGAACCAGCTCCGAAGGTAACGGGACTATATTACAGCCAATGAAATAACCGTTTTCTTTGAGACAGATTTCATTGGTTATTCTTCACTCGTCCTTGAGAGATGAACTGTACTCTTAGTATCTCTTTTTCGACCGCTTGTACCCGACAGTGATCAATAGAGCAGCTGGCTTGCATGTTCGTTGACATTTCTGGTTGGGCCAAGCGTATCCGGCTATCATTCAGCCATCCAGACCGGGGTTCACAATAATAAGAAGGAATTAATGAGACTGTGGTCCACAACAGGATCCTTCCCAAATGTCCCGATACTTTGTGACGATAAACATACTTAAGTGCACCATCCAATATAGTCGGACAACATAAAACTCAGCACTTACTCGATAGATTGCATAACCAATGGTCTGAAGCTCTGTGTTGGAATCTACGCGACTCTCCTGCATCAGGCCAACGATGATGCTTCCATAATTATCATCATCTGTCTCATCCGGATCGATAACTTGAACTCGAAACTGCGGGTTAATGTGAAATGTGTCTGTGGTCGCATGGAAACAAAAACAGAAACAAGCTAGAAATGAACTGTCAATATTTGCAAGCAAAAGTCTACCACTTCACTTGGGTGCTTGTCTCAAAGCGAACTGTCAAAGATTGATCAGGCCAGATTAAAAGAAGGGAATCTAAACTGCAGATGTTAGATAAGAAAGTGTTATTCGACTGTAACCCGGTTTAATGAACTTTTCTAACATGTTGATTTAAGAACGACTTCTTGAGTGTACGTCAGCCATAACCACCGTAAGTCAAGTAGATCGGAGCATGAATGAACAAACTTAACACTTGTAATGTACTACTCACAAGGTTACTGAAAATTCATCGACAGTGCACGACCAGTTTCGTCTTTCATAGGGCTCATCGGGTAGGCCCAGCCCCCGAGTTTCCGTCAACCTTATGTTCTACTTGAAGCCAAATTGCACGAAATTAGTACACTCATCTGCAACCAATTTTGGTTTAGCAAGAGACTCACCTGAAACCCAGCTGAATCTCACGGTTTTGATGTGCTGCACCGGGCCACCTCATGTTTCAGTCGCTATGGTGTTCGAGATATTGCGATACATATGTATATTTTGCACTACTCATAAGGCTGTCAAGGAGTTTTCAGCAACCTTATGAGTAGTGCATTAAAAATATACAGCGTATACAATACTCTCTAATAAAAACTGAAATGATGTCCTTATTATTATGGTCGTGGATACAATTGCTTTGATAGGAGCCTTTGTCAAACTTGACGCAGGGAAAAACGTCACCGCACTCAGAAAAATGCTTGAAAGCATTGGAATCAAGCGGCTTTTTTCCGTCATATTTGAAAATACTGTCCTTCTAACCGGGGAGATAAGGTCTATCGTCTGACCGAAGTTAACATTCGTTGCTTTAGACAAGAAGTGGGACGGTACTATCTGGTCCCGACTCCGATAAAGCATCCATCCAAATCGATCCTTCAATCTTTTGTTTGTTTATGGACCGGTGGACTGAGCAATCATCAGGTCACAGATGAAAATAGCATGTGCCTGATTTGTTGTCAGCTTGACTGTTAGTTTCGTCAATCGAAGCGATCTAGTTCGCATGTTTAGTGAGCATCGCGCTCACCCAACACTGTTGTGCCCTTGAAGCTATTCAAATCCTTTATCGATCGCCAAAATGTGAGTAGCTGCGGACCGTTCGCTGCTATCATACCCACTAAACACCCTCGTATGTCTTCCTTCAGGCAACTGTTTGTCCAAAAAGCCTGACGGCTTGCGTATACCTGAACCGAAATGACGGGTCCAACAATATTTCACGGTTGCCTAGATGGAAAATATAAAAATAAACTTCGACAACAAAAACCATTGGAAACCAGAGAGAATTGTGTGCTTCAAGAAAGAATCAAAAATTGCCCAAAAGAATGAATAAATCTGATCGCTGTAATCCAGACATACCCCGATAGTTTCTGCATCCACCTGCAGTGGCGTACTTGACCCATTCGCCCTCCTCTTGTGTCATTTCCCAGCGGCGTTTCCGCTTCTCCAGTATTGTTTGACTTCCGAAGCTACCAGATGCCGGACCCAAGTGGCAAAATTCCGCTTTTGTGAAGTACCGTGTGAAGTCCTTGAAGGACATCCTGAAGAAAAAACAGTCGTCTTGGGCATAAAGGAATCCTCTGAGACGACGAAAGTAAGCGCTCAGTTTGACCGATAAATCGTGAACTTGTGCACAGTGCACTGTCCGACCTCCAATACGTGTTACGCGATGGGAAAAAAATGGTACAGTGACCTTGGAGCCGCTTTGGAAACTGACCTCTTCACTCCAATCCATACTTTTTCGGTTATCCTTAGTCAAAGTAGCTGTCCTTTGTGCTCAGCTGGTACTTGGTGGACGCAGTCACTAGCAATTAAGCTAACAGAGCTGAAGCACGTTTGTGGCTGTACGATCCGTATCAGCTCTCAGAGGGTATTTCAATGACCTATACGTTCGTCCTCTAAATCTCGGATGCAAAACCAAGTTTTGAGACTAACAGTGTAAAAGTTTGATCTTGTTTCAATGAGGTGCTTGTGGGCAAACCGTTTCGCCCGGGTAACAAGGCCTCTGTTAGTATATTCACATGCCCCACGTCGAGTTTCCCCGATTCTTTGCCCATCTGTCCTAAAACCAACCAAATTCGTTCCTGACTACACTGGAGATCGGGCGTTGTACTGTCACGTCAATCGTATCCTGATTTCGGTTTTACACATCTAATGCTTCGGTTGTCTCCCCTTATTCAGAGTCAGTGGCTATTGCGGAATGTAAAATGGGATCTATGTGAGGTTGCTGAAGATCCGCCAACAACCCACGGCCGTTTTCGCCCTTCTTGGGGCTCATCAGGTAGGCGCAGTCCCCGGGTTTCCATCAAACTTATGTTTTACTCGAAACCAAATTGCACGAAATTAGCGAATATACACTCATTCACAAACTAATTTGGTTTTTCGTGAGGCTCACCTGGAACCCAGCTGAATCTCTCGTTTGTGATGTTCCCAGGCAACTAAATGTGCTGCACCAGGCCGCCTCATGTAAAATGGGATCCCTTATGTTCCCAGGAACTAAATGTGCTGCACCAGGCCGCCTCATGTAAAATGGGATCCCTTAGGTAAGATAAACTGTCCGATTTGTTCGTATGACTGTGCTGACTTAAAAACGTAGCTCCTGAATATCAGTCCTATTTCCTTGTAAGCAGAACCTTTCATTTTACACCTAGTGTGTAAATTTTAGTGTGCACGAGAAGTCAAATTTGTACATGCCCACAACCGTATGTCCACAACTGAGAGAGAGCCAAAGACGTTTCTCATCGCCGATACTGCCTTCAAAATACATCGACACCACAAACCGATGAATCGATGAATGATGAACCGAACAAGGTTTGCGCACCCATGGAGTAGAAACTGGTTGACCGAAGTTGATAATTCCCGCTAGGCACAGTCTCCCAAACAGAATGGATACAACGACCAAAAATGTCGATAAAAACACAGTAAGTTTCTCCCTTCAGGGAGTCCTAGGATAGAGTTCATAGAAGCCCAAAAAATGGAGAACTGCGTAGGCTGTAGATAATCTTTGATGATCTCTTGACTACCTAGTAACTCAAGAATACTTCATGCGCCATTCATCATTGCACGTCAAACTACCTGTCCTGGAAAAGATGCTGTACTGCCAATTTTGGAGTAAAAATGTTCAACGATGAATGACGATGAAGAAGAATCCCCTCTAGCCCTATAAACCTCAAGCGCTACTTTGAAATGATAGGTCTCAGAAGTAAACAAAAGTGAAACCAAATATGTACCATGCTGAAATCCATAAAACCGCCGATTATGGACTAGCGTATAATGGCTCTTGTTCGTTCATCAGAGCCCTCGTTAGAGCTATCCGCAAACCGGATAAACGTCCAAAGAAAAAAAGTGGTTTGGTGATTTACCGCCCCTGTGAACATTGCAAAAAACAGAATTGTGAAATTGTACGTCACCAGAGAAAATCAAATATTCCGCATGGCTTAAATGATGAATTAGTTTCCAACGAAAATTCTGAATGGGTGAGTGATGTGCATCGGTTGAATCCGCGAACTAGAGGGTTCTCCAGGAAATATCAGTTTACGGGAACAGAATAGTCCAGGTGTTCCAATCACAGAAGAAAACTGAATCAAATCAGAGGCCAAATCTAGCCCTGTTATTGATTTGTCCGATTAATCTTTCTGTGAAAGTGACAACCCACCCCTTTTGGAGTTTGTGTTACTTGCAGAACTCCTTTGGGATGAATTTGTCTAGTGATCAACTCCCACAGATTTGATATTTCCAAGTATGGCTACTACTGCCAACTTTGGAGTAAAAATGTTCAACGATGAATGACGATGAAGATGAATCCCCTCTAGCCCTATAAACCTCAAGCGCTACTTTGAAATGATAGGTCTCAGAAGTAAACAAAAGTGAAACCAAATATGTACCATGCTGAAATCCATAAAACCGCCGATTATGGACTAGCGTATAATGGCTCTTGTTCGTTCATCAGAGCCCTCGTTAGAGCTATCCGCAAACCGGATAAACGTCCAAAGAAAAAAAGTGGTTTGGTGATTTACCGCCCCTGTGAACATTGCAAAAAACAGAATTGTGAAATTGTACGTCACCAGAGAAAATCAAATATTCCGCATGGCTTAAATGATGAATTAGTTTCCAACGAAAATTCTGAATGGGTGAGTGATGTGCATCGGTTGAATCCGCGAACTAGAGGGTTCTCCAGGAAATATCAGTTTACGGGAACAGAATAGTCCAGGTGTTCCAATCACAGAAGAAAACTGAATCAAATCAGAGGCCAAATCTAGCCCTGTTATTGATTTGTCCGATTAATCTTTCTGTGAAAGTGACAACCCACCCCTTTTGGAGTTTGTGTTACTTGCAGAACTCCTTTGGGATGAATTTGTCTAGTGATCAACTCCCACAGATTTGATATTTCCAAGTATGGCTACTGTCATTCTCGTTGGCTCTAACGGGACCAGGATCACGTGATAAAAAAAACGAGCGAAGCCTGATGAATTGTCACTTTTCAGCGTCAGACTTGAAGGTCAATCTCCGGACCCGTTTCGTTGTACTCACTTCTGCCACACTAGCCGCATAAATTGAGTGACTGACACAAATGGATAAACAGCCGAGACAAGTCGAAAATGTGACGTGTGCGCAATCTAACGATGCCGGCTTCGGGAAATATCCTACATCTCGTGGTACGTGTTTACGTTTTATTCCCAAACAATTTGTCTCAGAAAATATCAACAGTAAAGAAGAGGTTGATCATTCTGAGGAGAAATTCCTGCGACAAACGTTTGTCTGCACATCTGGTTGGATTTTTTGTACTGTTTGTGTGAACAGTGATCGTCAGGCTCAGAAGTGATTAAGTGTTGAAGCGATCAATCCTCAAAATTGGTTCTGTGTTTTTGGACTCATCCATCGATATGAGAAGCGAAGTTGAGCCTCGCCGAAGTTGTTGGAATGCGGTATAATCAGATCACTGCGAATGGAAGATGTTGCGGTAATCTGAGTGGACCCAATACTGATCGTAACGGATCAGGATTATGGCCCTTCGAGTAAGCTGAATGGTCCAAGAAATCAGGGCACAGCTGATTGGCATCCAAGTTTGTGCTCACAAAGGTCCGGTGATTTCCACGTGTCACAACCTCCATGAAGCGCATATCAACTTCATGAATCTTATTGTTTTCCTGTGTGTGTGTGCGAAGGTTGGGAATCATGTTCGGGGGAGCAGTAACGGTCACCAAGGCCTCTCTCACGTGTCAGAATCACATTCCCGGCTTGCGATCAATCAGTCACAGACCATGAGTTCATCAAGTGAGAGGGAGAATGAGGACTCAAAAAAGCAGATGCGAAATGTTCCGGAAATAGAGTATTAATGCCAGCGTGGTCAGTAGGAGAGAGGTCAAGAGAATCCATACAAAAAAATAAAGACAAACATCCGTGATTCATCCATTAATTGGCCGAAATCAGTAACAGTATTTTTTGCTTGCATTATGTGGATATTTTAAACAATTTCTAAAGAACACCAAAACCAGGTTTTCGCTCTTTGATGCCTGTGCTCGTGGATCATTTTTCAAACCGCGAAAGGATAAATTCTAAGGTCTGACGGTTGGAAACTTTTGCTTATACACCCAAATCTGTTCACTTGTGGTGCAGATCGAACATTCAAGTGCGGTGCACGTGGACTGCTCGAAAGTATGAACAAAAAATGTGCAGCTCTGCCAATTCTATTTTGAGGACGCGGTCTCATGATTTTGATAACAGACCTTCGAATGACTCCGTTTGCTTAACCGCTCGCCACTCGCTTGATCATGAAAACCGACAGCGACAACTATACCATCCACATTCCGAGTGAGCAGTGTTCATCAAAGGGGAAGCTTTTAAAGAAAAGTCCTCGACCTTTTCGTGATATCTCATGCAACACCCATTTCCGTTTTCATAATTTTATCGAAAAAAGTGGCTGGTTTTGTAATGAACTGTGATGGGGATAGCATGCCAACTCAACTCTCTAATTTTGTGTGGTGTTTTCTAACTTTTAACATATTTCTTCGATGCAGAATGTTATCGACGTGAATGTCGGCCAAATCAAACCCTGGAGTATTCCTTTAGCTGTATTCCAGTTGAAAAATAGTATAAAACAGAGGTCGGATTTAATTTCACGTCACTTCAGTCCTGGTATGTCGCATGGTATTTAAATCTACAGAATAGCTGAGAAAGACTCGGTTGTCGATCAGCTACTGGTGACTTTTTTACAACCTTGTAGTCACTAAACGACTTCATCCTTGGGAAGCGTTGCCATCGCGTTCCCCGAAAATTCCGGGAAGTCATCATGGTTGAACGAGGGCTGGGATACTGCCAGGGCGCCCACAATTAGACAGGAGGACGATTAGGGTCCTCAACCAAAGCCTAACTGTAAGGTAACGGTGTTTGGCGGGAAATGCAAATGCATTACCATTTCTACGGAACAAGTCGCTAAATGTTCCAACCCCCAACCTGGAGGGCCAGGAGAGTGTGTTTGTCAGACCTCTAGCCATTGACCAACCTGGTATGAGAGAATCTGTGAGTGTCACGGAGACACTCCCAAGTATAGCTCAACTGATCGCTGAGGTGCGCGAACCGTCGCACCATCACAATAAGCTTAACTCCAAATGTGCGAGACTGCAGGCCAGTAACGGGAAAACTTCTAGCAGTTTGCGGCAGTTTAGCACTTGCTGTCTTCCCGTGTTTACTTCTTGTATTTTTCGGATTCGGAAGTGACCAGGCTATTTTTGTTTCTTGAGATAATGCTAACGCCAAACCAATTTTTATTCTCACAAATAATTCTTCTAGCATGAGTAGGACGTGAGTTTTACCTTTTCGTTGACTTTCCGTATTTGGAAACAAGGTCTTGTGACATAGGACACTAAAGTCGACCCGAAACTTTACAAATTCTCAAAAAGTTTCGACGAGTCAGCTAGGAACTGTGGGTGTGCATCAGACCAAAGTGTTCTGACAACGACATTTGCAACAACTTTACAGAGCCAGAGTACACAAGGCTGTTCTTGATGCGTTAGGCTTCTGTCCAACCATATCACTTGGTATCGGGTGTGGTGCGAGGACTGAACGACGCTGCTGTTCATTGTGGCTTGCCTAAGTTTGCAAGAAGACATCCGTCATCAACCGCTGTATACTTGGATTTCCGACTGGTGGAATCACCTGGACTAATACACTTTTGTCGCACGTGATCCGGACCTAACCAGACTTCACTGTGATTTACCTTCACATGGGCTAATGAAGTCTTCGGCGCTAATTACTTGCTGCAGGTGTGGCCTCAAGGAGACCCACTAGGTAGCAACTTACCTCGGTTATCCACTGATGGAATTTTTAGCTCAGTGGGCGGACTGTCGACTTCGGTGAATTCAGAATACGGTAGCTAACCTCAAAAAGATTGGATGTTTCTGTACAGGGGCCAGCCGTCCCTAATAACTGAGCATCACATCATTTGGACGGATGTGTCACGTGCAGGACACGGATCAAACGAAGGTGTGCTCTATTGGTTGTTGATCAGGTGGCTGTTGATCTGTTCGCCGAGCTTGCTGTCCTCTGACTGGTCAGAATGTCAACCAATCCGGATCGAACATCTGTGACTCGACGCTTCTCGCGCCCTCACGGTGATGCTAGCATGACCTTGTGGAACACTCTGTGATTACCCTATAAATACAGTTGTAATAATTTTCCTTTGTCTCCACAAAGGGCTGTGTAGAGCTACCGTGCCTTTTGATATACCACAGTGGGAGGAGCAGGAAGCCAAGAGACCGACACAGAGTTGCACTACCGTTTAGCAAGTCACAATGAATTCATGAGCTCATCGATGCATGCAGTAAAACCTGTTTACACTAGTCGCACGTTCATGTACCCGTGAACGCCATTCAAGACTCTCACAGGTATGCGGGACACCCGGTTTGAGGATGCTCGCATCAGTCATGTAATGTCAAATGGTAGTTACGTCCCACTCAGATAATACTGCCGACTGGCTACTTAGGTCGTTTAACTTCGTCACCGGACACGCACGTTTTCCACAGTGTAGGTAGCATGATCTCGCTTGTGTTTCGCATCATCATCATCATCGACAGCATGACATCAGTGTTCAACACCGATGCTTCACTGCCGTACAGCCATGACTTATTTGAAAGCCTTATTGTAAAGAAAAGAATAAAGGTGGATGGGGGAGGGACTTAGTGCTAGCTTAACACAATCATTCCGAGGTGCCTACACCTCCAGACATTCACTCAGGCAATCTGGATAGAAACTGACAACAAGAACGCCACTGACATCGGTTGGCAGCCATATCTTGTAGTGTCTCCAACCAGGCACAGTGAGGATCACGCGGTCCCCATCCTGGAAGGCGAGTAGCACCGACAACACCCAAGTGTTTCATGATCTCCTTCATAGTTCTCTGCCAGGTCAAGTGTCGGGCACCTCTCTTTTTACGCCATTCTGAATTGTGTTTCACGCTGGGGTTCGATGAGGTTCGACGGAAAATTAGCAAGTGTAGCAAAGGAACGCCATGTTTTCTGTATCCTCAAAACTGTGAAGTCCTCAAATCTGATGGAAGTGGACGTCAGAAGTACAAACCGCATGCGTCAACGGAATTCCACGTCCAAGAGACGGATAATTCGTCTTTACTAGGAGCAACATTCCGCACCCAGACTGGATGTATAGAGTCAATGAACGTTTTTTTACCTCTACAGCACCATTTTCTCTTTTTAGCGGCATAAAAATCCCCGGAGCAAACTGAGCACGACTGATTCCTAGAACCCAGGAAGAGAAAACTCAACCAAACTCAACACAAAATAGGATGAACGGGCACCGGTAAAAGTTAGCGTTTCTGCTACACCGCGTCCAAATTCTACCAAATTTTCATCAACCTAAACAACACATCAATCAGGGGGGTTGACTTTGTACTGCTATTTTCTTTATTCTACCGCCTGTTAATCGGCCGTCACGTGATCAACCGCGAATAGATGCATTCGAGTTACCGATCAATTGACACATCACCAACCACTCACTGTCAGGCTAAGCCAAATGCCACAGGAGAAGGTTCAGTACTTGATGAAAAAGATCGTACGAATTCTAGAAATTTCCTCACCAAAATTCTCCATCATTTTCAAATGTGAGACCCATTCTTTTTCGCTCGTCTGGGGGAATGTTTCTCCATTCGCTTGATTTATCACCCCATGGTCCATTCCATTCGTGTTCCGAACCCCAAGGGTTACGCAACCGTACAAGCTCGACCTGTCCGTAGTGGGTTTGTACCTGAAATAATGGCATATTGGAAAATAATATCCAAGCCACCAACGTGATGGTAAAAAGGAGTTCCTTGTTGCATTGTGGGTTGATAGGTTTCAGTGAAGGATAGACTGACTAGCCCTTTGAAAAGCTTGTTCTGATGCTCTTAAAAATGAAAAACAACTCCTCTGCAGATGGGACTGTCTCAGTCGGAAACATCTTGGCCGAAAATGTAAGTCCGACATTCTTTCCTAACGATCGATCTAGGTAACAAACAACAGAGCATCTTTCCCACAAAACGGCAAAAGATATTGAACGCCGACGGCTTATTTTCGTTTATTCTCGGGCCAACAAAGAGGTGGATGACGTAAACTTTAGCAATCAGCCATTCTGCCAAAGGTGGTGGCTCATTTTGGTGAAGTTGATGTACCTTGGCAGGTAAATCAGCTCACGTTAAACGCATAGTGCAGTTTGACTGTAAACCGAAAGCAATAAGGCCGGACCAGTGAAGTGTGTACCCCTCGCGGGTCGATAACAGACACTTGCTCGAAAGTCACCATGGCTGGCACAATGATGTCATCTTCATGGTGAATGACTAAGCCACAAGTTTTCTTTCTTTCATTCAAACGGGTAACACGTTATTCCACCTAATCGGATCAGCTAGGTGACACGTGCCACTGATATGACCACCCGATTCGCAACAACCTAATCAGGTAAAATATTTCCGGACTATACCGACATGACACACTACTCCTAGGGTCCCTGAAAACCCTTCAGTCGCTTTCTACCGATGTCGCCATTTTAGGCTCATCGGAAAGTCGTATTTACCAAGGTTCCATCAACCGTATGTGCTAGTTGAAAGCTATGCTGTACGCAAGCGGCACTCATACGCAAACGATTTTGGTGTTAACAACAGACCTATCCGAATCGCTCATTTAAGATATTCATGAGTTTGACGGAAACTCAGGAACTTTCCCTTAGTGATGGACCTCAATAATGGCAAACCGGTAATGGACAGTCGAAAGGTCAGTCAAAAGTGCTTCGACATTTAGCATATCATGCCAACTAGAACGTGATGAACTCTTTGTATAGCACATTCAGTGGAAGAATATCTCGAAAGAGAAATCCTGTTAGCGAAAGTGGGGTTCTTCAGACTGCTTCGTGTTCACTGGTGTAACGGTTGACGTCAATCGACACTCTGCTAGAAAATCCGGTCAAAAAGGTTTCTTGTTGTGATTATGGATGACGTTTTACCCCGGTTTACCGGTTCAGTCTACTTGGGTTGAAATGCACCCTAAACGACGCGATGAATGGGGCGTAAAATACGCCCCGATAAGAAACGCTCTGTTGATTTTTTACTAGCCTGGGGGTGATATATCAAAAATAAGAGGCCTAACATCTCTACCCTTCTGGCTAGCAGTGTAAAGGTGGATAATATTGATGAGGCATGTGAGTAGCCTGTGGTCGTGTTGAAGCTCTGCCCCGCATCTAATGGAAGCTGAGGTTCATTACGGAACCTGTGGGACCGCTTTGCAGCGTTCGTTTACGATTGCGTGGGAGTCAATGAATATCCACAAATGTTCAAGAAGAAGCGTGAGGATGTTCGGTTTTTAAAACGTTTGTGCATATGAGAAGTTTACTTTCTTTTCCAATAGTTTGTAACCGTTTATTTGGTGTGTTCTCATAAACGAGCTTTCCTCCTTACACCAGCAACTTCAAAGTTGCTCCAGTACAGTGCCACTATTAGTGATTACTTTGCATCTCCTGCCGGAAAAAGCATTGCCTCTGTTTAATATCCTAAACGCTGAACAATCTAAGTCGAAAGAAATTACACGTAGATCCGTCTTTCTGAAGCATATGCCGTAAATTCCACGGAAAGATTAAAGTTGCAGGCTCCTCTTAAAGGATTTCTAGTTGAGCCAACCAAATTGGTGTTTTTTCGCCAAAGTGGTGTCCAAATCTATTTCTCATTTGTATAGAAAGACATCTGTCATGTTTTCACGTAAAATAAAACCCAAACGGATCGCAGATTGCTGGTAACGTCCCTAATACATTTCACCCGTGGAATAACCTTAGTAAACCACAAATTTCTAAGGGCTCAGTTAGAGACCGGTACTGACCTAAAGGTCCGTGGTTCGAACCCAGCCTCTGTATCTCGACTGCCCCTGTCTAGACTTGGGAAACCTGGCAGTATCCCAGCCCTCGTTTCTGGTGACTTGGCGGTTAGGCAAGAAAGGGTACTACAGTCGCACCATTTTCCACTCTATGTTTCACCCAAAAGACCGATAACATACGTGAATGTCATGCAAATGAATTCAAAGGGTTCCCACTTCTGCATCGGTCAAGAGCGTTGGACAACCTGAAGGACGTTGGGCAACGATTTCTCGACTACTTACTTCTCCCTCGAAAATCAGAACTGGCTAGTCTTCACTTGGAGGAACAGCTGTGACCAAATGCAATGTTCTTCCCTTCGCTGTTTACATTCTCGCCATTAGTAATGATACGTTTGCGCCGGTCCATTCGGAATAGCAGGGTGGAGGTTTCACCCAGTTAAAGATCTGTTCGCCTGGCGGACCGTGGGTGAATCGGTAATCTCCCTTTGCCTTGGTTGTGGTTTGCCCTCGTAATTCGGCCCCGTAAATTTTTGCTAATCAAGCGTTTCACTTTCGGAAAACGCCTTCAAGCGATTCCGAAACATGTGGTCGGTGGGTGAACGTGACCCATAAAAAGCGGTGTCGCAGGCTCCATGTGCTGGGATATTAAAGCTACACTCGCATACAGATGATCAAAGCAAGTTACTGAGACTGTGATGGAATTTTATTCTTAGTTAGCAGTCAATGTTCCGTTTATTCAGTGTTCTTCCTTATCCTTGACTCAGGCGTATTAGCATACGGATAATTACCTAGTTAGCAACAGGTCTCCCTAATTCACAAGATACTCTGTGCGAACTACCAACGGGACCCTGAAACGAAGTGATTTATGGTGAACTATTGTCCAGTCTGATATTCGGCTTCATCATTTACGATCGGTGTTTTACTAGGAATCCGCGTCTGTTTAAGTAAGAGGAAGAGCGGACCNAGACCGCTCGCAAAGGATCAAGCTGGTTTAGTGACGCAATGAAAACTAGTGGAGATGTTTTCTCTTATGATGTGAACCCATCCTGCAGTACAGTAGACTGCGTATCTTGGTGCGTTCCACGCGAGTTCGATCTGCCGAGAAAGTTCCGCAGTATGACGGTTTCGTTCACCAAAAAAAGGGTCTACCTGTTGAAAGGTTTCCCTTTTAGGGTTTAGCAAGTGTCCCTAGCAGCAGTGTATTATTCAGAGTCTGGTACAAGTCTTATTCCATAATACTTGTAGCTGTTTTTTGTTGCTGAACAATCAAAGCACAAGCCAAAAAATCAACCAATGAAAACACTCCTGAAAGCAACCAATCACTATTACGGATCGACCTCCGTCATCAGTACGTACATAAGCACTTGCACAATGCCCAGTGCAACCGTTAGCGCTCTGTGTTACTCCGTAATGGGAAGTTTCCAATCAGAATACCTGTCTCAAGGAACAGAACAACGTTCATCTATACAAATTCAGCTACAAAACCCCCATCGACTTCTCTCTTGGTTGCGTAGTTTTTGCTTAGGTCGATCGACATTTTTTAACACATCCACATATCACTAAATGATCGTTTGCGCGCACTGCGAGGTCCAACTGTCCAGCCGCACCCACTTGAATTCAGATTAAATGTCACTGACTAGGCATGATGATGGCCTTAGCACTGCCCTCTCATGTTCGTCCTCCGTTCTGTTCCTTCGGGTTGACACCGACTACAAAGCACCTCAGTGCAAACTGCATAGGACATTGTGTGCGGGTGTCAATTGACTTCGTTCGATATGACAGACCAGTACGAAACCGGATGCAGGACTGCCAGTTATGTACCCACTGAGATATCTTTTCATCAGATTCACTCAACCGCTCGTTTATTTACTTATTTGTAGAAAAGTCTACAGGCTTGTTTAGCACATGGCTAGAAAGTATTCAACCTTTTCAAGATTCCTTAGAAGTCTCCCAGAAGAGTGAGGCAGTCTTTCGCAGAATGGCAGAATGATTCCCCACATGAAACTCCATATTTTCCGCATCCCCCAAAAAGCACTAGTTGGCTGGATTTTTAGTCATTTTAGTGTACATCAATTTCATGTGGACAACTTCACTGAACGGTTTTCGGACGTCCTCAGTTCCACCGACAGACGATATTCCTCTCAAGCCTGGAAATAGATCAATATCTCTAACCAACCAATCTGTCCCTTCGAATTCGGTAAATGCTGATGAGAACAACTGCAAGAACCGGACCGAACTTGAAGCGGCTTCCGATTACTGATGGCGGGAGTACGAAAAGTCGGTGAAAGGTTGCACAGCGATGTGCCAACCGATTTCACGGATCCAATCCAACTCGATCTGTGTAGCTGACCAGCTATCTGCAGTTTCTTCAACAATGTGGACGGCTGTCCCATATTATTGTTGATTGACATATCAGACACTCAACTGTAGGTGGAATTTGACAAAAGCTGAAAACCAGTACTAGTGCAACGGTGATACTACTGATGGGGAGGCATGCGAGTAGTATGTGTTGTTCTTGGATTGTTGTGGAATTTGTGTAGTCGCGTTGTAATATTTGCTTGGATTTGAGCAATGAATAATTGAAAACAACGAATACCCAGGAAAGTTTAAGAAGACGCGTTCAGGAGAAGATGGATGTCCAGTTTTTGTAAATAAGATGCAAATGAGAGTTTTGCTTACTTGTCCAGTGGTCTGTAACCAGTCAGTTGGCATTTTCTAATAAATAACTTCGCAGCGAAGGCCTTCTTCCTTTCACTAGTAGGTACTTCCGTCTGTTCCGGAAAACCGACTTGAATCTTGGTACTCACCATGGTCAACGGCTGGACTAACCTCGTCTTCCGCCTACTTTGGTGACATGATCAACCTTTCCAGGAGGTTTTTCCTCAATTTTACATGTCATTGAGTCCGCACTTCCTGAAGGATGAAACCCAGTTATCCCTACCCCCACCCAGCATTTTCTGGCTGTATCGTCGATCATAGAGGTCGACAATCGGAAAGATTGAACTCATGAGAGAGATGTCATTAACACGTGACACAAAAACACTACTACAGCTGATTGGTAATCGTTGAACTATTAGGCCACAGACTACGTGCAGTTGTCAGTCATCAAGCTCAATAAACAGCGTCCTACGGGGTCTGCAAACACTTGTTGATGGAATTGTTCGGGGAAATCCACTTGACGCAAACGAACTGATCTTCTGTTTAAGAATAGAAAGCAGTGTTAACCCGATTTTGCAAAAATCTTGCTTTCAGGGCAAGAAGTTGGGAAATACCGGATATCACTCTCAATGTAACCTACCCTGCGAACATCGGTGATGGAGTAGGCATGTCCAGTAATCAAACCGTGAGGACCTTCTGCTTCGATCCGGTCCGCTGTGGCCTCAATTGCACACGCCATTAGCGACGTTCTCTTTTGGGCGATTTCCATCAAAGAAAACAAATTCGGAGGGGTCTTTTCGCCAAGAGAGACGATCTCAGTTAGGCCACCGGTGAAATCTTCCATTGCCTCGCTTGTGGCACCCCCACGCATCGCGTCGTAGCTACCGGCAAGTCTAACAAAGTGGAATAGACAGCCTTTGTCAGATAAGTTACAACGTCGGACGAGCAATATCGCGCAAGACATTGGTCTGTAGAGAACGGTCGATGCTGGAATGCGGAGATTATCTACTAAAAATGAGTTTTATTTGAAACACTTCACGAAATTTCCACGATTACTTCCAACTTCCACGCCAAAGCGTCGGGTCTCAGTCAAACTCAACTCGAATCACAGTGAAACCCGTCAGGACATCACTGATAAGATTCGCCAAAAGGACCTATTCCCCGAGTTCCCATGGATCGTATTTCTTTCTTGCAAATCGATTCGTACACACATTGTGATAGAAACTCACTTGCAAATTAAGTTTCGGTTGAAGGGTGAATTCGCACCAGTGCGAACTATTCACACGAATACGAGATATACAGCAACTCATCCTTCAGCTATGGATATTACGTCACGTGGTCATAAGTATCGACCGCTTCCTTGAGTGGCGACGTCACATACGGAAGTTTCAATCGTCTGCCGGGACTGTTTTTTCTCTGAGCTACTTATAAATTAATGGTAGTGTGAGAAAATTCGGCGATTTTCAATTATTTTTCAGTTTTGCACTCCATGGTGTTTCATAAGATGAAACGATAACATCTCAATCGGTTCCCCAGTCTCCCAGTTGCTTGAAAATCTATAACACACGTATTCTTAAGTAGGCTGACGGAAACGGAAAGAGACAATAAGTATAAGTCATAAGTAAACGTCCAGTTGCGACCCTCTTTCGGTGCCTAACTGCTACTCCACCTGAATTGGGCCAAGGAGATGAGAACATGTCAGGTTGCTCAGGCCTAAGCATGAGCATCTGCGATGCAACTGATCCGGTCAATGACAGCAACGACTCAAAAAGAGCAAATTCGCAATTCTGTCTAGCTTTCTTCGGGCACACAGTCTGGTACTTCATGAATTGGGCAAGGAGATGAGAACATGTCAGGTTGCTCAGGCCTAAGCATGAGCATCTGCGATGCAACTGATCCGGTCAATGACAGCAACGACTCAAAAAGAGCAAATTCGCAATTCTGTCTAGCTTTCTTCGGGCACACAGTCTGGTACTTCACAGAAGACTCAAACCTGATTAAACTTTCTGGAAATACTTCGGCGTTATTAATTTTTCAAACGTCAGTGACAGTATGCACCTCGCAGCGGAAAGATATAAGAAAATACTGCATTATGTTTGCACTGATCAACGAGCTTAACTCACTTTACATATGCTTTTTCCATCAAAGCGGACCAAAATTCATTTCGATCGGTAGAGCGCATGAACACAAGACGCCCGTTACGAGTTGGAAGTCGATCATCCACCACGACGTCAAGCCACTGGCCGAACCGCCAAAATCTGAACCAAAACATTCCGCAGTATGGGAAGAACCCGTCCGCGTTAGATCGGTTGGAATCAAAGGATTGGCCGAAAGGAACGACCTTGGAAACAGAGGCATCGGGTGGGAACCAAGGGGAAAAGGCATGCTCTCATCTGATTAGTCACAAAGGGTAGATGCATTGAAGAAAGCTTGGAAGCCACGATTAAAACACTAAATTTAAACCTTGTTTGCATTCGTTTGATGGTCGCACTGACGGTTGGATCGTCGGCTGGCAGTTTAAACCGTGGTACAGTATTTTAAATGCTTGAATGATCATGAACATTGCTCATGCAAAAACTTCAGCCAGTCTATGAGGGGAAATCGAGCGCTTTATATCTACTTCGGTGTATGGAACCCACCATCCCAGCACATGCAAAGATATGCATGCACGACAAACCTCTAAACGAGCATAATTCCGATCTAGAGCTTTCTAGTTAAGCGGACAATCCTAAATCTTAGTTTCAAGACGAGAGAAGAACTGATCGGACAAGAACGAATTCCAAAATTGTGAAATCTTGAAAACTTTGAACGACGCGGGTACAACAACCATTACATTGGAGAAAACAAGGCGGTCCAACCAACCAACCAATCACTCTCGGGAACAACAGACCACAACGCAACGCGTTTTCAATGTGGAACAATCAAAGCAAAGAAAGGGGCTGGAAACGAAAGGATGTACTTCAATAGCCAATTGATTATGAGAAACGCAGATTATAACAACAAATTTACGAGAGCTATCCCCCTATTAGCCAATTACATCAACAGATCACATATATTCTTCAAGTACTATATAAACGCACGCAGGCAAAGAAAAAGTATCCACTCAACTGCTCACTGATGATGTCTGCTCGTATCACGACAAAACGTTCTCAAGTCACTTATGAAGCTCAGCAGGAAAGCTAGTCACTGATGGCCTTACTGCACTGTAACTATGTTTCCAGAAAAGGATACCCTTACATGCTTACCTGTTGATTCAGCCATCAAGGCTCCTCACCGAACGGTGCAACCTCAAAAAACGCATGGTGGAAGCAACATGGGGGCTGCGTTCTGGGCAAGCTGGGTTATTTCAGAAGGCCAGCAAAAACCAGTACGTTAAAAGCAGCCTCCCTAGATGAGGACAGAGCGTCAGAAATGGCGCTAAATTTCACTTATTGGAGCGGTACTCCGTGAACCCACTGAGAACCACGATATGATGTCCATTTTTGGTATCACTAGCGAACATCCGTGAGCGGTGAGGCACGAAAAATGAGCCAACCTGGAAAAAGCTGGCTATCCGAGATCACTCATATGTGTCTGGTCAAAATTTGCACGACTTTCACGGAGATCCCGATGGAAAGCAGACCAATGAGACTTGATACGGAAGATGGTTCAAAAGAACGGCCTGCCAGGTGTTTCTTCCCGGTCAGAAACTATCAGGTGGACATAACGGGATCCAGGCTTCTCAAGCCTGACCGCATTAATCCTACTTCACTGTTTTTCATTTAGATCTTGGCGCTTATCAGTTTTCCCCTGAGGATGGTGAAATTCCAAGGGTTTTCAATTGACCACGCTCAGATTTCAAAACGAATTCGTTACATAGGACCAGCTGTTTAAATACGACGGTGTTAACGTGTGAAACAGGTTAATCCATCTTTTATGATATCCCGTAAACGGATATTTGAGTAGCTAAAGAGGTGACAAGAGCAGTGAAAACTTAGGGACTTTGCACACATTGTGAGACCCAAGAGAGACCGAAACCGGTGGTGGACTGCCGAAGGGCCAGCCACTTTCATAAAGGAAACTACTCACAAGGTTGCTGAAAACTCTTCGACAGCCCACGACCGGTTTCGGCCTTCTTGGGGCTCATCAGGTAGGCGCAGTCCCCAAGTTTCCATCAACTTTATGATGTAGAATTTCATAAACGAGAGATTCAGTTGAGTCTCTCGTGAAAACCAAATTGATTTGCGAATAAGTGTATTTCTCAGGCCAGCCACTTTGTTTCGTATCTTCCACCATGAGAATTCTTTTATTTTTTATTTTATTTTTCATTTTTTTATTTTTTATCGCCATGAAAAATGGCGAAAACGGTAGGCCAACTCAATACCGTACCCATTCGGTCACATCAGTCCCAGTCGGGGAGGAACATTTAGTGGATTGCCCATCATAAATAACCACACTCTACCTCTGTAAATCCATAAAAATTGGCGCACTTTGGTGGCTTTTAGGATTTATTAATTCACGTTTGTAAACTTCACTGTCAGATGTGTAGTGCGCTTTTGAAACTAAAATTGCCGTTTTAACCTTCACTCTATCCAGACCATACCTCAATGACGTCAAAACTTGGTATCCCCAAACGGGATTTATGCTACATCTCCTTTCATACATTTGTAATTCCTCGCCACATGTAACCAAAACTGACTACGCTGAACCCGTCGAATCTCCCGACAGCTTTTCGCGTAAGATCAGAGTGGAAATCAATTCTACACATTGAGATAGTTTCAACGCGCGATTTCGCGCGATCTGCCCTTTAGGATTTTCTTCAAGTGAGTGTGGAGATGTTCAAGAGTGATGGAGACTTCTAGGCCACGCCTACCGGAGGAGAATTCTGAAACGATTTCATCAAATTTAAAGGTCTCAAGAACCCTTGGCGGAAGCGTGACTCAAGTGTTTGTGACTATAAAACCAGTCCACTGTTAGGAAAAAACCAGATGAAACCCCACTGCCTAAACCCCGAAAAAGGTCGCTAAGTCGCCGAGGTTGTAGTTATTCACGTCTGTCCAAAACAGTAGTACGATTACCCGCGAAGCAGGATTTTTCGACCAGGGGAAGAGGGTGGCTTCTGATCACAATGGCCATGTGAATGCGAGTGCTAAAATTAACGTATCTGTGAACAACGTAAATTCAGTGAGATTGCTTCATCTACGTACTCATTTGTTCTCCTCAGGACTTTGATAATCACTCAACCACTGGCTTGGAAACTACTGAAAGCTTCATAATGGAAACGCAGACAGATCCCGGAATCTTAGCCGAACGAGGTTTGGTCTCTTTGTTTAGACTGGTCAGGTGGGCGCAGGGGGGTCGGCCTGGGGTACAACCCTACAGAGTGGGTTTTCTCTGAAGACAGTTGACTGTTTGGAACAGTCAGATCAGATCACATTCCTCAACTGTGCTAGCTGGCGTCATGAGTGGATGATCCGAGGAATCTGCTTGCTTTCTGGGACACGTGAGAGAGCCCGCCAAGCACACTAAAGGCGAAAAAACTGGTGTTCCTGGTCTCTTCAGAATCCGACCAAATTTTCAATGTAAAGCCAAAACCAGTGTAGTGCATCCCTAAGTTGCGTGATTCCAACAGCTTATGACCGGGGTTTCGATTCGGACTCGTGGTTTTTCAGTGTACTTTCAGTGTACCCAACCGTTTAACAGGTAAAAACTTTCCACTTCGCTTATGACGCAGTTGTTGTATGAGAAAAGTGAACAGTTGAAAATGGGTGTATGAAAAAGCCTCTGTAAGAAGCATTCATTGGTTCATGCCAAACGGCTGTTTACCAAGGGCCACCAGATAGTTATTTAGGCTAAATCAGCAGTAGCTGAAATCTCTCCGAACAAACAAGTCAGATTTCCGAATATACACTCATTTGTGAACTAATTTGGTTTTTCGAGAAACCCACCTGGAACCCAGCTAACAGTCCACGACCAGTTTCGCCCTTTTTTGGCTCATCAGACAGGCGCAGCCCCCGGGTTTCCGTCAACCTTATGTTCTACTTGAAAACAAATTGGATGAAATTAGCAAATATACACTCACCTGCAAAGTAATTTGGGCGAAACCAGTCGATGAATTTTCAGCAACCTCATGAGTAGTGCATTACAAGTAAGATTTCCCTTCCTCCGACACGATAATCCCGGATAAGCTCCCGACACGACAATCCCGGATAAGCCCAGGTAATTTAATCGTTTTTGCTGTTTTCTCAGTAAACAGAGAAACAAGTCCTAGATATGACATGTGAGTGTAAACAGATGCTTTCCGATAGCATGCATGGTTGGCTAACCAAGCTCAATTCCCAAAACGCACTAAGCGATCGATAAGCCACATCGTTTAACACTCCTTCAGTAGTTGACTTGTCCAACGAGATGAAGGATCGGTCCTAAAAAGTTTCGCTCCTACCATATTTGGTAAGGCTGTTCGTTGCGCTAGTCACTCCAACAAACGCGCACCAATCCGCCCGACCAACATTCTTCTAACTGCTGAAAACGCCCTAAGACAGGGTGCTCTTCCTTCAAGGGGAACAAGACGACTTTCTAACGGCATCTTCAACCTCGGTACTTTCGAACCATTTTCCTGACTTTCATTTCGCACTGCATGGTACAGAGCTATCCTGCACAGAATAGACAAAGTTTCAGTTTTTTTTCATTTTCCCAAATTACTGAGAGTTGAAAATGAACCAACGAGCTCCCATTCCGCCTTAGGCAAAAATTTATAAACTCAAATATCGCGCTGTATTGCCTGCTTGAAGGTTGCGAAATCTTCAGATACCTTCAAAACCACACACTGATCCTCATTCAGACGAGCGTCAGGTACAACTCTGCAGAAACATTGATTGAATGCCCTCCAAAATTTTACATTCTTGGAATATGAACGTGATCTTCTTCACTGTATAGAGGGGATGTCTTGAATGTGAACAGAACGGATGTACGTGGTGTCATTGTTCAATTAGTTGGAACGCCCGCAAATCCGCCCCGATATGCGCGCGGCACGACAAACTTGTTGAGGTGTCACTCTTGATAGTCCAGTTGACTGTTCTGGCACAACAGACTGCAATATGAAGAAAAGACATGGTGCTCTCAACTTCAGAACGACAATGTCTTTTGTGGCCTCAATACCCAAGACGAATCGCTTCGTCTTATGGATGAGTTCATCTTTTGAAGTGACAATTACCCAACTTCCTGTGAATAGCGCCAACGGTTATAGGGACGCATCGGAGCGACGGGTACATCAGTTTAGTGTTATTCAGAAAGGGTACCGAAACTTCGAGAAATGCACTCATTTACAAATCAATTTGGTTTTTACGAGACACGCAACTGAATCTCTCGTTTATGATATTCTACAACTGAAAGTGCTGCGCACAGGCCACCTCATGTTTCAGTTGGCACGATATTCGAGATATTGCAGTATATTTTCATAAAGGAAACTACTCACAAGGTTGCTGAAAACTCTTCGGCAGCCAACGACCGGTTTCGCTCTTCCAGTTTGGGCTCATCAGGATGGCGCACTCCCCCGGTTTCCCTCAACCTTATGATCTACTTTAACCCAAATTGCACTGTTTTCAATAAATACGCTCATTTGCGAATCCATTTGGTTTTNGCCTACTTGATGAGCCCCAAGAAGGGTGAAGCCGGTCGTGGGCTATCGAGGAGTTTTCAGCAACCTTGTAAGTAGTTTCCTTTAGGTACCCAACCTTGTTTCCATCAAGCTGCAGACTAATGAGCTACATTTGTGAACAACCAATTCCACATGGTGCTTTGACGGAGCGCTGTTAAGTGGATTAGTTCGGCTCCATCCGAATCACAGGCATTCCCTCTCGAGTGATAGTCAATAAACTAAATGAACCACAATGTAGTGCTTGCTTCCGGTAAGTTGGCTTTTGAAAAGATGCTGTGTTTATTTCTGTACTCTGTTCTTCGGTTTTCATCTAACCCTTGCCTTTGCAGCCATCTATATCGGATGCTAGCGAAATATCTATTCGGACCGAATTTGAACTGAGTTTTATTATGCTTTTCCTACGAATGTGTCCGGAATGTGCGAGCTAGTGTGAGAAACATGGTGCATAATTGATCAAAACCGTCCAATGGATAACTGATTCGACGTTATTGATGACGTATAGCCCTTGTGTTGAATGATGTTCAGCTGTACGTCACCCAACACCTCTGAAGTGAGCGGCGAAACCGAGAGGCGCTGTTTAGACTTGACCTAAATCGAATACACTGCTTGAACAATGGTATCCGTCCACATGAAGGCGTAAAATGGAAGAAAACCTTCTGTTGAGATGAAAATAACACCTCTGGAATCCTTTCCAAATCATATGAAAACCGCCTCGAAGGTACAGAGGTCATTTGAGTTGAAGGTTAGTACGTGAGACAGGCAGCAACTGCTACAGCGCGCATCCCATCCGGCATTCACAACGTTGTGAGTCACATCATCTGTGACTTAGAAATGTGACATTTGGTATGATCTTTATTCTGGTCTTTGATCATAGGAACTGCCAAATTCGGACACCTCTGAAGGACTACATCTACTATCAGCACGCTGCAAGAGGACGAAATTTCCCCTTTACAAGGTGCGTATTCAGTGAGTGCTCGTTCCAATCAGAAAAACTCAGCTGGAGCTTCTGGGGAAATATTGAGCATTGTGTGTCATTGCATGACTCCTTGATGCCTTTAATTCTTCACAACCAAGTGAGAGCTTTTAGCAAGATGGCTGAGTGGTTAGAGCTCGGATTTACTGACCGGAAGGTCCGTGGTTCGAACACAACCTCTGCATCTTCTGGCTATGCTTGGGGAGCCTGGCAGTATCCCACTCCTCGTGCTTTTTTCTGGTGGCATGGCAGTTAGGCACCGAAAGGGTGTTACAGCTGAACGATCATCTATATATTTTTTCAGCACACACAGTACACACACAACGAATCGATCGAAACTCGGTCATTACTGGACATGTTATAAATTATCCGTTGGTAACCCCTCAGCATAAATGAACTGTAGTACACACACAGTGAATCGATCGAAACTCGGTCATTACTGAACAACATGTTATAAATTATCCGTTGGTAACCCCAGTCGGAAAGGCCTGAGGTCAGACAGCGAGATGATTGGCAGAAATGTATCGTGTTTTGAATATACAGAAATAATGCTAGGATTGGTGTGGACTTGATATGGAAACCGCTTCCGTTCTATATTCTGCCCTGAAAGCTGTTTTGAACATGTGTGCACTTGTGTTTCCAGCAGCATTACGCATCCTCCGAACAAGAGGTATTCAATTCCAAATACCTGTTGCAAACAGGAGATGGATTCAGAGGTCAGCATACCATCTTTCGTCGCCCCTGGCTGTCGGCTATTGGAGAATATCAATGATGATGGTATCAACTGTATTCGGTTTCCTCAATATGGTATGACAGTGCAATGAGAAGAGCTGAGTAGAAGTGAGATATCTTCCTATTAGACGTTGACACCACTCAGAAGTGGCTAAAGAAGTGTGAGAGCATCAAATCTGCTCCAGCCACAAGCCGTTGTCCGGTGTGCTCTCGAACCTAAGGCAAAATCCACCTTCGGAACCTCGCGAAGCGCAAACCATCCAGTCTGGAAACTTCGGAACTCGATAAATAACTTTCCACCCATTCTCCTCCACAATTAGCTAGACTGATGCCCACCCCGATTATTCTTCTACATGTCAACAAAAATCTGTAGATCTGACTGGCAACCAGTGCTTCGGAACCGTATTGATGACTGGTGCTCACCGAAATGACAAAATTCATTTGCGTTTGGATTCTTATTTTTTATTGTGATTGGCACAGCCTAAAAAAGGTTCAAACGTTTAAAATTCAGGTGGCTTATAGCTGTTCGAGAAAGTGCTGAACATTCAACTGAAGATGACTCACTTGCTGCATCAAATCTCGATACATGGACAAGCTTGCGACGGCAGCTAGGAACCAACAGTCACCTGGCGAACGAAATTGAAAAGGTAACAAAGTATGAAGATCTGATGGGAGCATTTTGTCGGATGAGTTCCCTCGGGGTGTTTCGGAGGTGGTTACGTTTACAAACAAAGTAAAACCCACGTTTGAGGTCACCTGGACTGGGAACACGTCACATAGAATTGGCACATACTGGACTCTTTGTGCTTCGAACATCATATTCTTTTTTCGAACCATGGAACTGACAATAGATGAGTTTGTATATAAAATTCGGTCAGTCGAACGAACCGCTGTCGAAGTGGAGATCCTTGATTAAGTTCCCTGAATTGCACTTTAATCGGTCGGGTGGGTGGTTTCTTACTATTTAATACCTGTAACGTCGTTTGTTGTTTGAGAACTCGCTAATACGTAAATCGATTGGCCTGCCTGTATTCGGTGTTGCTTTTATTTTCAGACCACGAAGCAACACCGTTCCCAAATGAACCAATCAAATGACTTACATCCAACCAGTCAAACAACCAATCAGGCTACACTGATTTAATACTTTTCAGAATCTATCCACACACAATCGAAAGTGAGTGAACTACATGCCCACCCGTCAGCCGACGATGATAAAAAGTTGGCGAGTCCACTCTGAAATTCAACGAACAGATTGACTGTTAGTTGATCGACAGTAAATAACTTCATCCTATCCACCAGTAATTAGGTATATTTGCATAACTATCACGTTGTTTGACGACACTGTTGCACTTTGTTTCAGAAACCATTCCCAAATATCGAATGTGCATGCTCACCCACAGATTGGGCACAAAGTGCAACGTTTACAGATACCACCTGTGCCATTGCATTTTTATTTTACCATGAAGCTGGGGACAGAATAGTACATTCAGGTGTGCGATTCATGGTTGAACGTAGGCCCAAAAGCCTGTCAGCAAGACGCGACACATACTCTAACCCCTATCCTGGATGATTGAAAAACTGTATAAGTCAGACCTCTAACCATTGAATAACTCGGTATCGGGGATTCCAAGGGTATCACACGTGTAAGGGTTAGAGAGGTGGAGAGACCGTCGCAGAGTAGTGCGGTCGTCTCTTCGTGAAGGTATTCGGGGATCGCTTTTCAACTGCCAAATATTTCTGGGATTTGGCTGGGCTATGTGCTAGGCATGCGGAGCTACCGGCTACCGGGACGATCGCTGTTTTCCCTGCCCAGTTTGAAGTAGTAAAAACTCAGAAGTGAGTAGAATGTGACATGGCAGAAGCAAATGGTTGGTGGTAAGGAAAGTCGGGGTGCAGTTCGTCTTCCAAGATGCGGCCGGGTTCCCCCCACCCCCTTGTGATTGGCTGTAGACACTGAACGATATGGCGGCTGTCAGCTTCTATACACATGGTCCGTCCGAGTATTTGAGGTGTGAGCACCGCGGATGTTTTTGGTCCGCTAGCCATAGACCGCCCTCGCCGCCCACTTTTTCTTCCTTCGATTGTAAGGCTTTATTAGAATCAATTTTTATATGACAGCGAAGCACCAGTATTGTCTTCTCATGTTTCCTTCAATGATGATGACGATGATGATGATGATGGCGATGATCATTATGATAATGATGGTGACGATGATGATGGCGATGATGATGATGATGATGGTGATGACGATGAAGATGATGATGATGGGAGTGTGGAGAAGGAGGCGACAGCGGTGAAAATTTTATGAATCTCTTTGGTGAGGTATTTCAGGTTAGGACTATAAAGAAACCAGAATTAGATAGGGCTATGAAAACCTCAAAACGTTTAACCACTCCAAGAGTAAACTACGAAAATCGACAGGGAAGAAACGAACAATAAATGATCTGATTTTCAGTAGGCCGAAAGTTAGCTCTTGGTGAAAAGTTTTTCCAAGATATCCTCAAGTTGGGCAAATCACTGTTGGATGAGCTCCCTATTTTCAAACAGATTTATTTGCTTGTATAAAACTTCTCTTTCCGGGCTCTTGCTCTAATTGTTTTCGATCATACGTCACAACTAACAGACATATGCAGGTGAAATTTTCTTGATACTACGTCTCACATCGCTGAGGTGAACAGTGCTGATGATTTTAAAGCAGAGAATGGTATTTGGCGGAGAAGCTACTGGTAAGTACAACGAAATGTGGAAGTTGTCTGTAGCGAAGAAAAACTTAGTTCGCAGTATAAAATGTTGGAAAGCGTTTTTACATCCGATATCTTTGACGACGAAGGTGTAAGTTGTGACCAGATAGTGTTAGGCTGTGTAAGCCTGCGCATGGTAGACTGGAAACTTGAAATATGTGTTTAATGGCTGTAACTGTTGGTTACGAATCTTGGGATCACACATTCGGAGTCGCCGATCCAATCTGCCCCCCGGTGCAACCATCTATGAAGTGGTAATTACTGGACGCCTAAACTATCTTTCAACCTCCGCATGGGTCTCTCATGTCATTGCGTCCCCCCAGATTCATTATCATCATCATTACCATCATCATTATCATCATCATCATCATCATCGCCATCATCATCATCCCCATCATCATCATCATCATCGCCATCATCATCATCCCCATCATCATCATCATCATCGCCATCATCATCATCCCCATCATCATCATCATCATCGCCATCATCATCATCCCCATCATCATCATCATCATCGCCATCATCATCATCCCCATCATCATCATCATCATCGCCATCATCATCATCCCCATCATCATCATCATCATCGCCATCATCATCATCCCCATCATCATCATCATCATCGCCATCATCATCATCCCCATCATCATCATCATCATCGCCATCATCATCATCCCCATCATCATCATCATCATCGCCATCATCATCATCATCATCGAAGAGAGCAACACCAGTGTTGGCACTGATGTTTCACTGCTGTACAACCATAAAATTCGTCTTATATATCTAAAGCCCCAGGGTGAAAAAGAATCGAAAAAGAGCGGATTAGAGAGAGGACCTAGTTCTGGTCTATGTCAAGCATTCTCCAAGCACCTAATCAGAAAATCTGGAAAGAAACTGATAGCACGAACGCCACTGACATTGATGAGACGCCATTTCTTGCAAGCCAAGCAAAGGTGGGGTCACGGGGACCCCATCCTGGAAGGCGCACAGCACCCAAACTCTTCATGCTCTCTCTCACGTCCTTCTGTCAAATTATGCGTTGTCCACCTCGCGGTTTGAAGGAGACATGGAAAGCAACACGCGTCTGGGAAGACGGTGTTTCGACATGCGTAGCACATCGTAGTCGGTGGTTCTGGATGTTTCCCCAATTGAAGTACCTGCCGCACAACCAAGTACCCACTTTCCAGTCACCTCGCTACTAACACTCTGACGCGAACAGGATGAGTTTCATTCACTGAGGCGTACCCCTGGCGGGTCCCAATCAAAGATAACACGCAATTATCAGAAATCATCGTGGTTTCTACCCCGTAAATCACTTTTTTGGCTTACCTATTTCGCCTTGGACCACATCAAATCGGCTGATCCCATCAGTGACAAACTGTGGATCACGTATTATCTCCTGCAAGGAAAGAGATACTATTTTCAGCAAGTTTACCGTCTGCAAACCGAAGGACTCAGTCAGAAAACGAAATTTGTCAATCACTGATTCTCTGTATGTGAAGTTTAGCCAAAATCGCAGTTTACTTGAGCCAGTATTTAGGACATGGAGTCCGTGCGCTGCTCACTAGGTCACTGAGTAGCTGTCAAGGACTATCCGTGAACAAACACCTATTCGCTAACGACAGACCCAACCGAAGTTCTCCACCGTCTTCTGTCACAGCTGAAACTACGCCCAAGATATCAAAGGATTTCTTATGATGTAATGCTGAATCTAAAGTTCTTGCAAACTGTCGGACAGCACTCTGAATTGAAGGACAGTATTGTGAACTAACGATCTGGCTAGGTCGCGCACCAATACTTAATTTGTGCATGCGTTTTTGGCTGTAAATACCTTGAGCTTGGCCTTCTTGTATTCATGGAGGCTTACGGGGATTCAGGGATAGGACCTATATGAGGAATTTCAGAAAATTCGAAGTTAGTAGTGAATAGTCCGGGAGATTCAACCTACCTCCTGAGTAGACATCTGTCTCCTTCGGTGTCAAAACGAAATCTTGTAACAGCGATGATGGAGGTTTTAACACTGGTTGACTCCTACCTGTGTCTCGTGAAGGATAGCTTGTTTAAATGAGTAAGCCAGATTTCGAAGCCTGCTAGCGATTGGCTGATTCTCATCAGGCACACTTCCCTAAATGTTGGTCTTGTTAAACTCATCAATCTAACTACCAAAGAGGGGATTGGACCGTAACAAGCCCAGCCGAATGTAGCCTGGATCATCGCACGCAGCCACTTTATCTTGAAGAGTCAACAGACGGTTATCACAAGACTCACACCTTCTGATAAGCTTATCAGCTGTCAACATTGTTACTATGAGTGAGGTGCATAACGTCGAGACTTGATGGTATAAGAAAGGAATCCACATTCCAATGACGCAAAATTCGATTTCATGCACAGGTGGAATGTGTACTATTACCTGACAAAGACAAACTAACAGTGTACGTTTATTTAGATCAGTTATAAAGTACATCACGGGTCTCCAGTTAAATATCGATCAATGTCAAGATTACTCTAAGTAACATGTGACACCAGTACCCGTTCGTTCTCAATTTGGTGGGAGGTAAATCAACCACAAACACCGAGATGCACTCACATGAGGTCTTCGCCACTCATAGTTTCGACCGCTTTGAATCAGTCCCTGCCCAATGCTTGTAGAGCTGGCTGGCAAGAAAGGATCTTCAAAAAGTCCGCCTTTACGCATCTGTTTTGCTATCTGTTCGGCGTACCATCGCCTACTCTCTTCCAGCGAGTTTGATGGGTGGGACCGTTCGTCCCATACACTCGGCTCTTGTTGCTGACGTCGCACCTCAGCTCTTGCTGTCATCCTATTCTGGCGCTTTGCCATCTCCGGTGGACGTTCAGGAACACGCTGGCGTGCAGTTCCAAAAGCGTATTCTGGTTCGGCTTGGCGGGTGTAGACCGGTGGGTCTTGCAGAATCTGGAAAATCAATAAATAGCGCGTTATCAGGTGCACCTTGTACAATACTTTCCCACAGTTCACTTACGAAGTTCCCCTTTTCCTTTTTTCGTCTCACTTCATGTGAGTAAAGCTGTAATACTCTGTACGGTTATCACCAAAGATGATAAAATTCTGGAAAAAAACGAAAAGCATTCGACCTGGTTTTTGTGAGTGATTGGATGTCAAAAATATGTCAAGAACTCCGATTATTTCCGACTGTATCTGACTTGTGATCGAGACAATGAAATTCCAATGTCTTACCGAAATTTGCACATGAAGTTGATCGATTGATACAGCTGTGTTGGTTTGGGTTGGAATTAGATCGATGCTTCTTATTTCGGTTGAGAGACTCGACATTTTACAATCATTAGACCGTATGCTGCGTTAGTTCGATCCGTCAGGTTAATTTGTCATGATTTAAGCACACTTTACGAAAGTGCCGGATTTTACGAACATTTTGAAGCACATCTTGTTAGGCAATAAATCAATGAAAACAAGTCAACTTCTGTATTTCTTGCGCCCAAGTTAGCCTCGTCGGACGTCTTCAGGTGTTCGACAATCGTTGTCTCAGAACAATAGCTCGTGTGGGTTGGTGTCGGCGAATCCGTAACGGGGCGGTTAGAAAGCGCTTTTTCGGTTGTGCAACGGCTACTTCCGTTGAAGAATGTGTTCAGCACCAGAGGCTGCGTTGGTTGGAACATGTGTTGCGTGTGCCGAACCATCGTTTGCCAAAGATACTGCTGTTTTCCATGCCCAATTCAGAGTGGCGTAAACAGAGAGGTGGCCAGCCCTTGACTTGGCAGAGGAGTATGAAGGTGATCACGAAACGCTTGAGTGCTGTCGGTGCTACTCACCTTCCAGGATGGGGACCGCGTGATCCTCACTGTGCCTGGTTTGAGACACTACAAGATATGGCTGCTAACCCATGCCAGTGTCGTTCTTGTTGTCAGTTTATATCCAGATCGTCTGAGTGAATGTCTGGAGGTGTAAGCACCTCGGAATGATTGTGGCAAGCTAGCACTAAGTCCCTTACCAGTCCACCCTTATTCTTTTCTTTACAATAAGGCTTCCAAATAAATAATGGTTGTACGGCAATGCAGTATCGGTGTTGAACGCTGGTGTCATACTGTCGATGATGGTGTTTCAGTTGATGCAATATACCAGATATCGCAACACACTTTAACAACGTAATGCACTACTTATAAGGTTGTTGAAAACTCTTCGACAGCCCGCGACCGGTTTTGCCGTTCTGCTTCTTCAGGTAGTCGCCGTCACCGATTTCCGAAAAATCTGATGTTCTACTTGAACCCAAAAGAACCTGAGGTCTGATCGCGTTTAATCTGAGAATTTCGCCAAAAACAGCATTCTGTGTCTAATTTGCAGTAGCGGAAACCTGGACGTGGAAGGAGTAAAGGATGTAACGAAACTACTCACAAGGCTGCTGAAAGCTCTTCGACAGCCCATGAACGATTTCTCCCTTCTTGGGGTTTAGCAGGTAGGCGCAGTCCCCGAGTTTCCGTCAACCTCATGTTCTACTTGAACCCAAATTGGACTGTTTCCGTGAAATACACTCAGTTGCAAATCAATTTGGTTTTCACGAAAGACTCAACTGAATCTCTCGCTTATTATGTTCTACAACTAAATACGCTGCACACAGGCCGCCTCATGTTTCAGTTGGCACTATATTCGAGATATCGCAGTATATTTTCATCAAGAAAACTACTCACTAGGTTGCTGAAAGCTCTTCGACAATCCACGACCGGTTTTGCCCTTCCACTTTGGGCTCACCGAGTAGGCGCAGTCCCCGAGTTTTCGTCAACCTTTGCAAATGAGTGTATTTCTCGAAAAACAGCCCGATTTGAGCTGTCCAAGAGATGTCATCAATGTTATGTCACACCAGAGAAATTTGAAATATCGTTCTTTGTGAATCACGTTTTTTTGGTGATTACTACGAACCAAACACATGTAGACTTCGGTAGACTCAACTCGCTGGATGGAATTTTAGGTAATGTCCAGACTACTTACAAAGAAAGTTTACTGATGATGATGGGCTTTGTCATCTATTGCAAAATTACTCAAGGCAGCCAATAACACAAAATATCGATTTTCAGTACCCTCCAAGTTCTAGACACATCTGTGTCAAATATGAATGCTTGAATTAAACAACCTGAACAGTTTGATCTGCTGTCAACAAAATCACGTGATCTACTCCTCTGTTCTGTCGACTGAAGCGTGATCGATTTATTCAGTTGGTTAATCAACTCTCTGAACACGATCAGTTTTAGCTGATGTGGTGCGCAGAGCAACCAAAGTGTTGGAACTCATCGGTATTCATACCAATCCTTTTTTATCTAGGAGAGTTGGACACAGTTTTGATTCTATAATCTGTACTAGTGACTTGTCGTTGAGACTTGTTGACAGGACGAGAAATGGCATTTATCAGACCAAATATCTCACCTGCTTTCCGATTCATTCATCACATCAATCTGTCAAATTGACTTGATAAAATGACTTTGGTGTCATTTACTGTTATTTTGTTATAAGAACATCAAAAGCCTTCAAACTTAGATGCGCTGACCATGGGACTCAAACTAGCGGTGTTGCTTCTAGCAAATTCAATTGTCACGAGAAGTCTCATGCGAGTGACAAGCCTTGAAGAGAGGATCGGTTCTGAGATTCGCCCACCTACTCGTTATAAAATATTTTGTGATATTCCGGTCAAAACTAAGTCATGCGGAGCACGACTTGGAAGCCTCGTGTCTCTTGATATTCCTATTTAACCCAAGAGGAATGGAATCATTTAAAGGGAAGCACTTTAAAAGCGCACTTAAAGAGGACAGTACCTGTGTACCACGAGCGAGCTCGGCACACTCTAAGCGGAACGCAGTAAAGTTGAACATATTCTCCAACCTGATGGTTATCCTGAGATGGACCTTAGGAAGTGCGCTGTGCGGGCACCCGCGACGGAGGGTACAACATTGCCTGCAAGTGCTTACTTACCTACCTTTTACCTGGGAAGACAGCAAGGTCATACAACAAGATACAGAGGACTACTACACAGCCGTGCCCTAGGAACAACAGTTCGACAATTCTAACATCACCTCCTATTTCCTGTGTAGATGGCAGAAGGAAACGGCAATCACGAATGAGGTTGACGGAGTGCGCACCTTCAAGATCCCAATTTGAGCGAAAATTGGCTACTCTTTTCGTCCCAATTTGAAAGAATTTAGGCGGAGCTGACGTCTTAAGATACACGAAAGTGACGTGCACTGATCAACGACCGTAATGACGTGTATCAGATTCCTTTGGCAGATTTACGTTGTCACAGGTTCAACGTGTACAACTCCAAAGTGTCCAAGAGACGCAGCTATCTTCACATTTTTTTTATTTATTCCCCGTTCTTTTTTATCAGAAGTTGACCGGTGCAAGGAAGATATGTTTCTCCTAAAAGACCTGTTTTAGAAGCAATATATCTCTTGAAATTCTATTAATTTTTTAGTTTTGCTTCCTTTCTGAAAGGACCAACTTCTTGGATAAACTTTCCTGGAGAGACGCATCGCTGTATTTCACCCTGCCATCCATTTTTTATTGGCTCATGTTCCCGTGAAATTTTGGCCCGATCAGATAATTAGTGTGTAGCCGAAACGAGTCACAAAGAAAAGTATATCAGTCCCGAAATTCAATCAGATCTAGGCCAGCTGTCCCGATTTAGTTATCCACCGTCGTTCCGATTCTCAGTAGCTCATCGACCGAAAGTGGATGAACCAACAGATGATCAGTTCCCTTGGAACTGATTTGATTTATATGCTTCAACTAATTTTATTCAACTGGAAATACATTTCGAACTGTTCGCCTAGAGGCACATACTGTTCTCAACGCAAGACACAGTTCGTAGTACCAATACTGGCGGTCGATTCGATGCAGCTCTGGTCATGTGACCGAGTGTACTAATTTGGAAAAAACGCACCGTTGCATGCCTTAGAGCGCGTATCGTAAATTCGGTTTGTCGCATACTGATCACATCACAATATGATTGAGCCATAATCATACTCTTATATTCTGCTTTCAAACATGCGGTGAAGTAGTCCCTGTTTTTTCAGATAAATATTCACTACTCCGTATAGAGTCACCTGCGCAAACGGTTTGGAATCCCGTTAAATTCTGGGGTTCACCTGCATACTCTGCTTCAAAAGGGTGATTTCCAAGTTTCCGCTACAAGGTGTTATGGCAGTTTCGCGGAATAGCACAAGATGTACTGCTGTACTAATCGTAAGTTTACGGCAAACCGCAGACAACTCGAAAGTTGACTGCATTCGTTTCATACTCGTCAGATCACATAATTAGTTTATTATACCGCGAAACAATCGACCGATATCTTGAAAATTGGAGTGTACATTCTGTTGAAGAACCTCAGAATTGAGGCAAAAGATCGTTTACTAACTCAATATTTAACCACAAAAAACAAGTGTTATCCAAAAGAGTCACCCGGAACCCAGCTGAATTTTTCAATAATAATGCTTTTACGCAACTTAATTTGCTGCACCTGATCGTCTTATGTTTCAGTGGACATAAAATTGGAGATATCGTGATGCGTTTTATAGACGTAATGCATAGACTCATAAGGTTGCTGAAAACTCTTCTATATAGCCAACGACCGATTTCACCCTTCTTAGAGCTTATCAGTTAATTACAGTCCCTAATTTTCCATCAATTTTTTGTTCCACTTAAACTTATATTGGGTTGGTTTCAACACTTATTTTCGTATTAATTTGATTATGACGGGAGACTCACCCGGAACCCAGCTGAATCTCTCCTAAGCAAATGAGCGTATTCGCTCATTTCCTGCTTATGACGGGGACTCAACCCGAAACCAGCTGAATCTCTCCTAAGCAAATGAGCGTATTCGCTCATTTCCTGCAATTTTGGCTCAAGTATAACAAAAGGTTAACGGAAATTTGCGGAGTAGGCCTACCTGATGA